GGGACTGATTGAACCGCTACAAAAAAAATTTACCAGCAAGTATTAACAGAGATCAGGCCTGATTCTGCGAACACTGCGGTTTTGTGTGTAATGTATCAAGTGACAGTGACCTACTGACACTGCACTTGCTGGGGGAGGGGGGGTAAGCGTAGGGGTTAAACGCAGGTGCTGGCAGGTGCCGGGGCTGATCCCGCTAATGTTGCATTTTTGGGGACACTATACTAATGTGAATGCTGATATTGATCCGTTCAGACACTATACTAGCAATGGGAGTTTATTGTGTATGTGAGCAAGTTCCTCGCAATCAAGGGGTTTAATGTGATTACTGGTGTACTGATGGGCAATCTGACGCTATCTGGGAAGGGCACTAACTGACGCTAATGCTATCTGAAGTCGCCGGCAACACTAATATAGTGATCAGCAAAAAATCTGTACACAGTAGTAATGACAATGGTGACAGAGCAGTGAAGAGGTTAACTGGGTCCAGAGAGAGAAGATTTCATCACTTCCTCTTCCTGTACCTGTGTAACTGTAAACACAGGTACAGGAAGATCCCTGATAGGACAGGGATTGATCATCCAACTTAGGTTGACCATCACTGGCCTAAATCAGATGATTGATTCCTCAGGGATCAAATCACAGCACCGGTGGGGGTGTGCACGTGCCCTCCCGACCCGCTAAAACCACGGGTGCGCACCCGTGCCACCCTGTAGCAGTATTTCTGCTATAATGTGGGACAGAAGCGGTTAAAAATGAAAAGATGATGTAAGGGTAATTTTGGTTTCAACCAACTCATGAGAATGCAAACTCCAAAAAATAACAGGATCTGCATCTCACTAATAGGTGTTATCATGTGAGCCAAGTTTACATAACTGGTGGCAATTTTTGATTATCTTCCTAATGGAAATGTATTGAATATTTAGGTTTTATAAAATGCAATATCTCTTGAACTTGAAGTGATGTTTTTCTCTCCAAAATCACCTAGGAAGCAAGACCGTGTAGTAGGCATCATAATATGCCAATGGATATCTGTAGTATAAAAGGTACCCCTTTTATGCCCCTTAGAGCAATGGAAAAATAATCCACTCTTGAAATGGAGAATGTACTCATAGCCATGCAGTGGCATCACTATGGAAGTGTGGACTGTACTGGGGTAACACCATCAGGACCGACGTCAGTATATGATCTACTGATGTCATTGCCGCCTGTGCTATGCAAACACAACATCCCCAACACATTTGGAGAAATGCCGCATTTGGCATTGCACTAGTGGCACCTACTGTAAGTGGGACGCGATCCTGAGTAAGGGATAATGGCTTAGCAGAGGCAGAGCTTGCGGTGGGCAGAACCTGGAACAAGCTGAGGCTGGGACTCAGCTGGAGAAGAGTGCTGGCTTTCTGGTGCTCGGGGACCAGGATGGAGGGAGGGGAGAGTTGATTAAGGTACTGGCTGTTTGTAGTAGAGATGATGCTGCCCTGAACCTTTTCCTATGACTCACAGAACCAACCTCCTCACTGCACTCTGGCCGGCTACCTGATCCCTAGACACCCTGTGACACTGCTTCATGAGGCTAATTATGTGAGGGGGTAGTATCTGGCGTCACCAAGTAACTACCCACCTCCTGGATCACCTGTGCTGCCCATCCCCACCTCACCTTTGCTTTTAACCCTTTGCCTGCTGTAATGCCATTATCATCATCACCCCCACGGGGGGGGGTGACACCATGTTTTCCCGCACCAGGTGACGCCAACCCTAGTGATGCCACTGAAGCCATGTGAAAACACTTGGTTGAACGGATTCTGACTCTATCTATTTTTCTTCTTTTTGGCCTAGGTTCTTCCAATGACATTGTAGGCCACAATCTCTTACGCCTTGAAACCATATTTGAAGTTTCGGAGATTGCTCTGAAATGGTTCAAATCAATAACGGACGATGGTACTGTACTTAACGTTAGTCAAAACTGTAAAAATCAGGTTGGATTGTTGGGTGCTAGCTTAACATTTGATCCACATGTATGTTGAGAGAGCATCTTTTTCCACTAATCAAACATTGCTTGATTGTGTCCTGAGTTATCATACACTGTGGCTGAAAAGCTTATCATTACATTTGTGCTATCCTGACTCGAGTACCGTAATGCTCTACTTAATGGAGTGCCTATATTCACATAAAACAGACTACAGTATGTCCAAAATTTGGCTGCCAGAATCCTGACTAGGTCTAGCGCAAGTGACCATATTACTCCTTTAGTCCTTGCACTGGCCACCTGTCAGGTTTTTCATTAATTTCCAAATCCTCATGCTCTGTATGGCTCTGCACGGCTTGTCACCCCTTTATCTGTCTGAACTATTATCATCTTATTCTCACCCCCTGTAGCCTTTACTCCTCTAAACCTGGTCTTCTGTGTGTCCCTCAAACCCATCTACAGTGTATCCAGAAAGTAGTCACAGCGCTTATCTTTTTCCACATTTTGTTATGTTACAGCCTTATTCCAAAATAGATTAAATTCATTTTTTTTTCAACATTCTACACACAATACCTTATAATGACAACGTGAAAGAAGTTCATTTTGAAATGTATTAAAAATTAAAAAAAAAAACATGTACATAAGTATTCACAGCCTTTGCCATGACACTCAAAATTGAGCTCTGGTGTATCCTGTTCCCACTAATAATCCTTGAGATGTTTCCACAACTTAATTGGAGTCCCCCTGTGGGAAATTCAGTTAATTGGACATGATTAGGAAAGGCATAAACCTGTCTATATAAGGTCCCACAGTTAACAATGCATGTCAGAGCACAAACCAAGCCATGAAGTCCAAGGAATTGTCCATAGACCTCCGAGACAGGATTGTATCAAGGTACAGATCTGGGGAAGGGTACAGTAAAATTTCTGCAGCATTGAAGGTCCCAATGAGCACAGTGGCCTCCATCATCCAAAAATGGAACAAGTTTGGAACCACCAGGAATTTTGCTAGAGCGGCCACCCGGCCAAAATGAGCGATCGAGGGAGAAAAGTCTTAGCCAGTGAGGTAACCAAGCACCCGGAGGTCACTCTGACAGAGCTCCAGCGTTTCTCTGTGGAGAGAGAAGAACCTTCCAGAAGAACAACCATCTCTACAGCACTCCACCAATCAGACCTGTATGGTAGACTGGCCAGACGGAAGCCACTTCTCAGTAAAAGGCAAATGGCAGCCTGCCTGGAGTTTGCCAAAAGGCACCTGAGAGACTATCAGACCATGAGAAGCAAAACTCTCTGGTCTGATGAAACAAAGATTGAACTTTTTGGCCTGAATGCCAAGCATCATGTCTGGAGGAAACCAGGCACCACTCACCACCTGGCCAATACCATCCCTACAGTGAAGAATGGTGGTGGCAGCATCATGCTGTGGAGATGTTTTTCAGCAACAGGAACTGGGAGACTAGTCAGGATTGAAGGAAAGATGAATGCAGCAATGTACAGAGACATCCTTGAGGAAAACCTGTTCCAGAGCGCTTTGGACCTTAGAATGGGGAGACGGTTCATCTTTCAACAGGACAATAACCCTAAGCACACAGCCCACATAACAAAGGAGTGGCTACGAGCCAACTCAGTGTATGTTCTGGAGTGGCCCAGCCAGAGCCCAGACTTGAACAAAATAGAACATCTCTGGAAAGATCTGAAAATGGCTGTGCACCAACGCTCCCCATCCAACCTGATGGAGCTTGAGAGCTACTGCAAAGAAGAATGGGAGATATTGCCCAAAAATATGTGTGCTAATCTTGTAGCATCATACTCAAAACGACTTGAGGCTGTAATTGTTGCTAAAGGTGCTTCAACAAAGTATTGAGCAAAGGCTGTGAATACTTATGAACATGTGGTTTTTTTCGTATTTTATTTTTAATAAATTGCAAAGATTTCAAAACTTCTTTCACGTTGTCATTATGGGGTATTTATTGTAGAATGTTGAGGAAAAAAGATGAATTTAATCCACTTTGGAATAAGGCTGTAACATAACAAAAATGTGGCAAAAGTTAAGCGCTGTGAATACTTTCTGGATGCACACTATACTCAATGGGGAATGTGGCCTTATCCAGTTATACCCCAAAACTCTGGAATTCCCTTTCCAAAAACATTAGAAAGTCACCTTTTAAACAGTTTCAAATCAACATATGAAAACCTTCCTTTCCTATCTTTTGACAAGTCTTCACCTAACTGTTCCTTTTTATGTGCATCCCCTTGTTTTTGTTTCTTTGTAAGGCACTTTGAGAAGGTACCTTTTAAAAGGTGCTATATAAAATGACATTAATAATATTATAACTGCTAGGTCCAAGTTATGGCACACGGATGAGATATCAAAGCCCATTCAAACACCAATTTTAGGTAAGTAATTTTTGCCATTTGAAGGCTTCAGACATGTTTTAAAATAATTTTAGTGACACTGAATTAGATCTTGCATGCCATGGTGGCTTGTACACAGGCTTGATTACAGTTTTGTTGAATTAGTTTCATTAGAGAAAATACCCCGTTAAATCCAACAATTGAGAATTTTAATACTGTAATGAAGAATGATAAAATATGGTTTTCATATGTTTTCCTTATTATGCTCTGATATTGATCATTTATACCTGTACAAGCTCGTGAAGTATTGATTATAATTAGTAGGAGGAAATGTTATAACAATAAATCATGTACTACTCCTTTTGCAGAGAGCTAAGTGACTAAGGGAGGGAGGCAGAAGAAAGCCCATAAACTTGAAGCAAAGCAGCTAGGACATATCAAGGAAGAGGTCATTGACTTTCCAGGCTCCTACTACTGTACTTGCACAACATCCAAGACACATATGCATCTCATCTTTCCATGATTTGGTTTAGAGATCTAGAAGACATGACTCGTTTAGTGGTTCCCATGTTGTAATATCGCTGAAGAACATATTGTTATGACAACAAACATTCAGTAATTTGGCTGAAAACCAATTTTTATTTTGAGAACAACCAGAAAGATGTTTGTGTTTATCAGGCTTTCCCCTCAATGCCAAACAGTATCTGAAAAATGTGCTCACTTTGATGCTGTTTAAGATAATCAAAGAACTGCCCAAGGTCCATATGATAATCATTCCTTAGTCCATAGTCTCCATGAGCAGCAAATATCAGTTCTTCAAAGGAAGAGAACAGACGCAGGTTATCTATGATGCCGGTCACTTCCATGGTCTCAGCATGTTTACAGGAGATATGCTTCCAATTAGGATAGCGGATGTCACGCCAGAACTCTTCACATTGATCCTTCTCCCCTTCTACACATATAATGCCTGGCTTTCCTGTCAAACAGAAACCAGTCAGATTCAGGCACTTTGCACAGTCCAAGATCTTCTTCTTTAATTCCTGGCGATATATATGGTGGCTGTAAATCCACATTCGATGGAAAGTTCTAACTCGTTCCAAGTTTGATTCATGCTCAGAACTGTGCTTGGTGTTCTGTATGTAAGAGGGGAGGTTGTCTTTCAGCCACTGTACGGCGTTCATGATGCACAGATCCCCGCGGTCCAATGAACTGATGAAGGATGACAAGCATTTGTTAAGATCATTATGTTGCTGCTTTTCTAAAAAATCCGATCGGACAAACAACTGTGGCTCCTTTGTAGGGTAACTGTGAGGAAGCGTCACATGCATTTCTGCCTTCACCTAAGGGTACAAAACTGGTTATTATGTGAACTTTCCCAAATCGATTGGTCAACCATCCTCAGTGTTTTCTCTCCAAAATGTTAAACATGTATCATTTTTAATTTAATAATTACTATTTTAATATAAAAATTACAAAATGTAATAAAAGACATGTATATCAAAAGGATGATATCATGTTGACACCTCAAATACATATAAAAGTAGATGCATAAGATACAAAAACACCAAAAATATTGTTATGCAATATTTGTAATTAGACAGTGAAAATTACAGGGTACGTTAAGGTTTAGAAAAGACAATCCATCTATACACTGGATACTCACTGGCAGCATCAGGACTTCAAAGTCATCACAAACAATAGATTTACTTGATCTAATCTACATGAGCAACAGAACAGAAATTATATCTATACCCGAGAACTAAATATAGTGTACACAACTATATAATAATATATATTGCAGATTGCCAAACCTTAGATGTGGTGACTGCATTATATTTTTCTTGTTTCAGGCCTTTTTTTTCACCTGGTGATCCTGCCATTTCCAGTACTAGGGTGACAACACTGTCTTATGCTGACCTTACACCTGTAGAATCTCATTTGGAATGAGAGTGAGAAAATCACTCATCCAACCATTCAATGGTACCTTTATAGACTCAAGTAATTTCAAACTTTTCGTTTGAGTACCATTTCAAAGTCTTGATTTTTGTAGAAAAAATTATCTGCTGCTGGATTAACTTTGATAACTGTAGGTGCATAAGACTAGCTATATTTATTTTTGGTCTGGAGTGAATGATTAGAAAAATGTCCAATCCAATTAGATTGGACAAAAGATTCTCCACCCTTCTCCTTTGTTTTTTTCACTCACCCTGATTTAAACAGACTACTGAATTGTACCCTTTCACTTTTAGATAATTGAATCAATATTCTGAAAACATCAGTTTTCTAATGAATTCTACCAGTGTAAGGCCAGACCTGAAATGATCTGTATTACACAATACCATTGGTCCAGCTTGGCACAGTAAAAAGAAGCAAATTTCTTACCTGGTGGGTCTCTGGTGAGGATGAAAATCACTGTAGCATTAGTAATACTATAGTAATAGTCGAGATCTTCGGGGTCCTGCTCAGATTCTTTGTGAGCAACTTCCTCTTTGCAAACAGACTACAGGGGGTCTTTCAATTGACACTAATGCCACTCACTGAATGCCTTCTATTTTTTAATAAATACAAAAGCATGTTCTGATTGGATGACAACTACTACAGTGATTTTCAGCTTTCCCAACAGCCCATTACGAGTGAGATATGTGTACTTAAAATCTGCTTAGCTTGATCAATGTAAGTATGCAATACAGAAAATTCCTGGAGTTCAACTTTAATCCCACAGCAGCATCTATGGAGGCAAAAAAAACAAATAATTTACAATACTCTTCACAAAATCTGCCAGTACAATTGTAAAGATTATCTTTACATTTTAACTTTTATGGCAATAGGTGGATTCAAACTTTTCATGGGCTTCATTATAACTAATTAAAAACTAAAACTCTGGTTTTGATTTGTTGCATATTTGTATTACAAAACTAGTGTACTGGAGGCCTTACATTTTGTCAATGGCAATTTAATTTTAAATATTGGGGAGGGGGTTCTATTAGGGCATGATAAATAATTTTAAAAATAATGCACCCCAACTACTTACCGTCAGTCGTATATTACAAATTGGTGTCCCATTTCTTAAATATAACCTGTTACAAGCCTGAGCAATATAATCTGAGTGTATTATTTTGGATTTTGTAGTTAGTGTATATTCAGTGACAACATGTTTTAAGTTATTTAAAGGTTTACTTTTAAGTTTTTGGTATGACTTTCACATTTTTTTTACATGCATCCAATTTGTTATTGTACATTGTCCTTAATATGGGGATATGTAGATTAGCTACTGGGGGAACTCTTATATATGTTTTAAGCTAATAGCCACATAAGGAGTGCACTGATTTCAATTGGCTGACTTTTAGGGTGCATACATACTTGTGAATACACCCGCTTGGCTATCAACTGCAAGAACCCCAGGTGGGGGGGCACAATCAGCAGTGAGTAGACAGCCCCATTGAAAGTAAAGGGAGCCTGCCGGCTCCGGCATCTAATTTGAACTTACTTGCATGTAATCGCTCATGCAGTGATCAAAGAGAGTGATCAGCTCTGGGCGCAGGCAGTCTGCATCCAGGGCCAATCATTTGAATGTATTCGCTGCTGCCGCAGTCAAACTTGAGGAACTGAGGCAACGCCTGAAACTGTTGTTCCTATGTGTTCAGTTCACTGTGTTACATGAGCGTTTCCCTGGATTAATAAAATCTTTGATTACTCCCATGTAATTCACTCCCAGTCCCCTCATTTTGGATTATATAACAAATAAAAAAATGTAAGGACTAAGACACCCCTACTGTAGTAGTAAGACAGATTTAGCAAAGCCAGGGAGTACAGCAATGGCCTCTCACCACTGGGATCCCTGAGATATGTGCTGCAAGAACCCAGTGGGTGACTCAAGTTACCAGCACCTATTCACAACTAAAACGTAAAAGGGAAATTTGGACCTTTAAAAACTTCTTTAAGTTGTAAGGACTTAAAATCATACTAAAAAAACAATAATATGGATTGAAAGAAAATTATTGTAAAATGAAAAATTCTTACCTTCTCATCCTCTGTCTTAACAAACACTGTGTATCCAACAGATGGTGGCAGAGACTGATAAATTCCTTCAACATACTTTCTTATTAGAGGAACAGATTTGGCATCATTTAGTATAATGTCTTCTTTGTTAGGAAACATAGAGAAGAGCATTTCCATCTCTAGTAGTTGAAGTTCAAGGCATTCCTTAATGGTGGCACTCATAGTAATAACAGAGCTTCTTCCAACTGTACCTATGATAAAATAGAAGGTAAATTACATAACGTACAAAATGCATCTTCTTATTCTTAACAGTAGAAAAACTCCTTGTTAAAAGATTAGTAGGTCCAGAGATTAGCCAGCTAAAGGCTTCCCCTCTTTACATTGAGCTTGTCTTCACCCTTCCTGCTTTCCTATTTTAATATAATAGCTTTTATTAGGAACAGGCATCCTCAGAAGGTAGGAAGGGTGGGCCCTACTTATCTCTTTCATGAAAGGTCAAGATTTGAATGTGATATCAGCTGATTTTATCCCTGATCTGCTTATCATTTAAACATGCAGTTTTCAAAGATTGTTATGCATTTTGTATTCTATGATTAGTTAGTTTAAACATGGTTACATCCTTGTTCAGCAAGCATCAATCACATTAGTTCCTGATCTCAGAATGTTTAGCTATGACCTGTACTCCAGGCAATGGCCCAATATGGTAAGTGAAACCAGGAAAAAAGGCCAGGGGAAAAATAAGTGATTTCTAGATATCATCAGCACTCCAGATAATGGCCCAGTATGGTAGGTAAAACCAGGAAAGAAGGTCAGAAGTATTATAAATGATTTCTAGCTATCATATGTATTCCACATAATGGCCCACTATGGTAGGTACCACAAGGAAAGGAGGTCTGATGTAACATAATTGACTTCTAGATTTGATCTGTACTCCAGATAATGACCCAGTAAGGTAGGTGAAATCAGAACAGGTCAGGAGGTAATATAACTGATCTTTGGTAATGATCAGTACTCTATTTGTTGGTCCAGTATGGTAGGTAAAACCAGAAAAGATGGTCAGAGATAATATAGATGGTTTGTAACCATCATCTGTATTCCTGATAATGGCCCAGTATGGTAGATAAAATCAGGAAAAAAAGGTCAGAAGTAACATAATTGATTTCTAGTTATGATCTGTACTCCATATAAGGTAGGTGAAATCAGGAAAGATAGTGAAAGCATGGGCGTAGCGTCAGGGGCCACAACCACAATGGGCCAGGCCAGGTGGGATGGGGCTGCTGAATGGAGAAGGCGGGTCATCTGCTGAGGGAAATGACAACAAGAAGTCCTTTCTCTTCCATAGAACGCCTCATTCCACTGCCTCCCAGCCATATGTCCTCCGTGTCCCTGCCCCTCTGAGAGCTGGTCCCGCCCCTCCTCCCTTTTCTTCATCCCTCAGTTCTCGCTCCAGCTCAGCCCCCGTTGATCTTTTCATGCCTTGGTGTTCTTATAGTGCTCCTCCCACCTGTCCTCAGTCATGGTGGGGGCCAGGCAGGGGGGTACATGTTGCAGATCCCACAAGCAAATTCATCAAGCGGTGAGAGTGGAGCATGGGGGGGATTCTAAAGAGACTGAAAACATTCTACAGTCTAGGACACTGACCGGGCTTGGGGCTTCTACATACTGAGGGGGACTCAGACTTCCGTGGGCTCCCCCTGTACTGGAGACGCGTGTGGAGGAGTGTCAGGAGCCAGCATTGGGGAGGGGTGAATCCTGGAGACCCCTGTGTAATATGAGGGTACCCCAACGCTGGTGATGTTGATCTCGCCCATGCTCCAGGGGGTCCATGGGACCTTCCTGTCACATTTTGTTCTACACTTGGATAGGGGGGACAACATATACAGAAACTTGCCCCCTCCATTTTCCTCCTGCAGCTGTTAAAAGTCGTCTCCTCCTCTCCCTCCCACCATCTTTCAGCGGCTGCAGGAGGAAAAAGGAGGGGGACGTTTTTTGTATATGTTGTCTCTCCTATTCAGGTTACTCTTATGTCTGCTGTCCAGGCACTCTGTGACTCCCCTGCCCCCCCCTCCCAAGCAGTGCTGCTGGCTTTCCTTTCTTTCCCGCCAGCTCCTGCAGGGGATTGTTTCAGGATAGAGGGGGTGTGGGAGGGGGCCGGTAAATATATAATTTACTGGTATATTCTTTTTCTGAATGAACATAGTGAGTGATCAGTACCAATCACTCACTGTGTTCATTCATACCTGAAGCATAGTAAACAGTGTTTACTATGCTTCAATATGCAAATACACAGAAAGACAGAGCAGATCTCTTTCTGTTCATTAATTCTGTACAGCTGAGGCTGCAGAGATGGAGATTGAGGGCTGTGTCTTCAATCACTTTCTCGGTCTCAAAAGTCAGACCTCAGGGGTCTGTTTAGACTCTTGAAATTCCAACAGAGGCCCCCCAACAGGGCTGCTAAAAAAGTGAAAAAAAAAAAGAATAAAATTGTAAAAACCCTACTAATACTATCCACTGCCCTATTGATCCCATCCACTGTCCTACTGATATCATCCACTGTCCTACTGACTAACATCCACTGTCCTACTGGCACCGTCCACTACTCTATTTAAACTTTCCACTGCCCTACTGACTGACACATCCACTGCCCTACTGACACTGTCCACTGCTGTACTGACTGACATCATCCACTATCCTACTGACACCGTCCACTGCTCTACTGACTGACACTGTCCATTTCTCTACTGACACTGTCCACATACTGTCCACTGTACTGTCCCACTACTGACTGACATCCACTGTCCTACTACTGACATCCATCCACCAGCCCTACTGACTGACATCCACTGTCCTACT